ATAGAGTTAGTTTAAAACAACTGAGGAAGTAGCAAGCATATCAACTTACTGTTTTCACAATGGGTACCAGTGAAACCGGTGATACAGGTACAAAAGTAGCCATTTATAACATCCGTACATGTACCTCCATTTCGGCATGGACCACTAGCACACTCATCAATTTCTGTAGATACAGTATTTAACAAGAGACAAAAGATTAACGGATGTTTTATATATCCATATTTATAATTAGATTTCTTAATTAAAGGTTTTCTTCTATTGAAAATTAAAACAAGACTGACATATCATTGTGCAAAATTACACACATGTCGTATATATTTATTTATTGCAATTTTTGCAGTTACGAAAAAACAGTATTTGAAAATTAAACAATACATAACCTAATTAAAAAGTTCAAACTTACGAGTTTGGCAGAATTCACCGGTATAACCAGGTCGACAATTGCAGACATAACCATTGACGAGATCAGTACACTGGCCTGCGTTTTGACATGGCGCACTCTGGCACTCGTTAATATCTGTAAGTAAGAGATGCAAGAGGATATAAGGAGGCTTTATTCATACCAGTACGGGGAAATTTCATAGCTGAATATAACAATGTGAATACAGAATATTAAAACGCCTCAGACTTATAACTGATAGTGATAATAATAATAATAATATTAATTATAATAATAGTAATAGCAAACAATAGTAATAACAGTAGTAATAGTAATAATAATAGTAACAATTAGCAACAGTAAAATATAATAAAAATAATAATAATAATAGTAATAACAATAATAATAAAATAATAAGGAGTGTATATATGGTTGCATGTTAATGAAATACATATTTTTTTATAAATATGAAAAAAAAGGTAGCTTACTAATTTCACAGTTAGCACCTGCGAACCCAGGTAAACAGAAACAGTTGTATGAATTGACGCTATCAACACATGTTCCACCATTCAGACACGGAGCGCTTCCACATTCATTGTCATCTGACATAAAAAAGCAAATTGTAGTTAAAGTAAAGTGGGGGCGTGTGGTGTAGAATGCGCTGGACTTCTGATCGTGGAGTTGGGAATTTGAGACTGATGCTCGTCGCCTTGCTTGTGTCCTTAGGCAAGATACTTCATCTACGTTTGCCTTTCTCCACCCAGGAGTACAAGTAGGTACCTGGTAGGTTCAAACACGACTGCGCTGATTACTAGCTGCAATATTATGGAATTCTCCCCAGGGAGCCAAATGTGTTCCATACGTGTTTGATCCGATGGCCGGGGTAGTAATGTGAATTGCTTAGAGGCTTTAAGCATGAAGTGCTATTTAAAACCGACATATTTTTATTATTAAAGTCCTTAAAAATCTTTACTCATAAATATAAAGCTTGGTTTCCATACAATCACTACACGCTATCGCCAAATTTTTTTGGTGATGCTGATTGGTTGGTCATATCAGGGGAGCCTTCCAGATTGCGTCGGGGACTGGTACACAGTACAGCGATCATGCTGGCAACAATGTTGCAACAGTGTAGCGACTTTAAAGAAACCAGACTTTACCATTGCTGAATTACATCTGAATCTTGGACTACATTTGGCAGATTCTTGGTCACTCCTCTAGACAAGATCATGGTCACATCATTAAAGAAGGATCTTGGGGAATATTCTAATGGAGTATCTTGATCAGTCCTCTGGACAAAGACCATTGTCAGTTCTTTATTCTACTCAGGGAAGGATCTTTGACACTACATTTGGCAGAATCTTGATCATTCCTCAAGACAAGATCATGGTTACATCTTTAAAGAAGGATCTTGGTGAATACTCTAAAAAGAGTATATTGATCATTCCTCTAGACAAAGACCACGGTCACCTCTTTAGAGCAAGTTCCTTGGGAGTAAGGACTATCACTGACTCAAACCAGGATCTTCATCAATCCTCTAGAGTAAATTGTCACAGCAACCATAATTATTGAATAAATAATCAGACAGCAAACCATACTATAGTAGTCAAGATATATCTACATGGACTAACTATTTGTCTCAGAGTACACTTACTATTGGTACAAGTAGGTCCGGTCCATCCAGCTTGGCACTGGCAGAAGAACTGGTTC